TGCAGTATCAAGAACCGATACCCTGTGAACAAATTGTCAGCTCTCTATGTGATATCAAACAAGCTTATACACAATTTGGAGGTTGGTATTTTCTTTATCAAGTATATATTTTATCATTGTCAGATTTTTTTTTTAAAACTTGATGTGTATCCAGGACACTGATTGCATCTATTTGCACCATTCCGTCCGTGGTTCCTGCAATTCCAATAAAACTAGGTTTTATGACGTCACTTCATTAAAGGCTTAGTTTAAGTGGAATTGCAGGTACCACAGACGTCTGATTGAAAATTGGAATGGTGCAATTGATCAATGTCCCCAAACACATAAGAATTCTAGAAAACATCTTTACAATCCCTTTAATTTAAATTGTCAATAAGAATGCTATAATACAAGAACTGTAACATTAAAGTCTGTGAACTAATAAATGATTTTACATGTAATTTATAATTGTAGTTACTTTGTTTTTAATATAGTTCTTTGTATTTGTATGCTGATAACAAAGGATGTATTATGTAATAAATCTTATTATATATGTTAGTTTTCTCCGTGTAAAAATAATAAAATAATCTATCTGTACCAGGTAAACGTCCGTTTGGTGTATCTCTATTGTATATGGGTTGGGATAGACATTATGGTTTTCAGTTGTATCAGAGTGATCCTAGTGGAAATTATGGAGGTTGGAAAGCCACCTGTATTGGTAATAATAGTGCTGTAAGTTTTTACCCAATTCTTTTAATCCTTTTAATCAGCTCATTCTTCATTCTTATTTACTCTTTAAACACAGAATATAAATTAAAATAAAACAACATATACGGGTACTAAAAATTAAAAATAACTTAAAGGGGACAGTCAGCATTTTCAGGGATTGATTTGGGTCTTATTGTGCTTTAATAGTCCTAAGAAGTACTAGAACTCACAAAAATTGCATAATTCCTTCAAATATACCTCAAACTGGAACGTGAATAATTATGGATACACACGGATTTGAAGGCTATGCGTTGTGAACAGTATTATTGATTATGTAAGCTAAAAAAAATTCCTGTTTCTGAAACTAAGGTATGATTGGTCGAACTGATAGTGAAAGGGGTCCTTTAAAGCAAATGAATTCCTATTTTAACACACCAGCCTTAACAATAGTGAAATTATCCTTGTGCCAGTGCTTTCTGCTGAAAAGTATCTTACCTTTCAACCAACCTAATCTCTACAATTAATGAACACTGCTTTAATCCTGGGCCAGTACCTTCTGTTGAATAGTAACTTGTTACCTTTCAACCGCCCTAATCTCTACAATTAGTGAACACTGCTTTAATCCTGGGCCAGTACCTTCTGTTGAATAGTAACTTGTTACCTTTCAACCGCCCTAATCTCTATAACTTTGGAAAAGGTGTCAACAGATATTTATAATTGATAATGTATTTTGTTGATATTTTAGAATGCTGTATCAATGTTAAAACAGGAGTATAAGGAAGGGGAGACCAATCTACAGGAGGCCCTGGCATTATCTATTAAAGTTCTGAGTAAAACATTGGACATGACCAAACTGACCCCTGATAAAGGTAGGTAAAAATATAGTCTCAGTTATCTACCCCTGATAACTCAACAATTCGATTATAGATGGGTTCCCTTATTTTTATTTATGAAAATGAAAATGCTAATACTTATATGAATAGAAAGTAGAGGTGTTTTAATGACTTGGAAAAATACCAGTTTGTCTCACATGTCCATAATTAATTCATAATTAGCTAAATTACAAGAGAAATACCAGCAGAATTCCAATGAGTGACCGATCAAGAAAGGTCAAAAAGTCTTGTTTTGTTTATCCAGACTGTACATGATTTATGATTGGTTAAAACTCTTAATAATAAGATGCAATAAGAACATAATGATATGTTTAAGAATACATAAACACCAATTATTCAAATAGTTTGCTTAATTTGACACTAAAAAATAAAAAAGACATTTTGTTCTATTATTCCAGTTGAACTAGCGACATTAACGAGAGAGAATGGGAAGACTAAGATTCGTGTTCTAGGATTCCCTGAGGTTGATAAACTCATCACAGTATATAATGAAGAACAGGCCAAGATTGAGGCTGAGAAAAAGAAGGAAGCAGAAAAGAAAAAAGCATCATCGTAAAATAATTTGACGGCATATTGTTAATTTATCATTTATTGGTCAGACTTGATCTTTGAAAAAATGACTAACTTTGGATCCATGTGAGAAAAAAATGAGGATGTAAAATTTTTAGAACTCAAGTTCTACACAAGACCTTAGTTGACGATCTACACAAGACTTTTGTTGATGATCTTCACAAGACCTTTGTTGACGATCTACACAAGACCTTTGTTGACGTTCTACACAAGACCTTTGTTGACGTTCTACACAAGACCTTTGTTGACGATCTACACAAGACCTTTGTTGATGATCTACACAAGACCTTTGTTAACATTCTACACAAGACCTTTGTTGATGTTTTACACAAGGTCTTTGTCGATGTTTTACACAAGACCTTTGTTGACCTTTTACATTAGTTGAAAAATTGAATTATTTGTAAAGTGAAATATGTGTATTTTGAGTGCCAAACATCAATTTGACATCCCTAAACTTTCTATTGAACTCTTCCACTCATGTATACTTTCTATCAATATGATACTGTATGAAGTATGATTTGAAAAGTTCATTGTCAAATTTAGGGGTGTTTTGCCAAGTTAATCCAGTCTTTTGGGGAAAAAAATCATTCCAAAATTAGAATTCCTTTCTTTAAGCTTTGTTCCTAGGATCATTTTTCTCAGATCAAGTTGACCAGCCATCTCTCTGAGAAGTTCATTTCATTGTTTCTGTATAAAAAAAAAAGGAAAAATATAAAATATAGAACAAAATAACTTCTTCATTCTGTGACTTCATCTTGCGGTGCAGGTACATAAACGGTGCTGGTTTGCGTTTCACAGACTGGCAGCAGACACACAAGGAGACATAAAATCTCCAGTTGGTCCTTTCCACTATGTCGATAATCACGTGCGTATCTTGCAAGGAAAATGAATCTGATCGGATGATGACGTTCTGTCTTGCAGATGATAAGACAATCGTCATCAAGTATCAAACTGGTTTGATAGTATAAATCCTGTGACTATATCTAAAAGCGTGGGCACACGTGAAATATACTCATGATTCAAGTCAAGTTTGGGTGAAGACGTTCGGACCAAAAGCAAGCAAGGGTAGAGTCAGGAGTCTAACCAATAAGTCTGCCAATAAACGACCCTTTCAACTCTAGACTTTGTTTTAACAACAAACGAGGCCAACATGAGGGGAGAAAAATGTCTTTTCTTTTAATTTTGCATTGTAACCATATTCACAATATGATCACTTTCAGTACTAATTCATTATTGATTTGAAAATTCAACCAAATTTGAATCTTTGAATTTAAATTATCAGAATTTAATGAATAATAATTTAAAATATTTCAAAATTCACAATGAATTGGTAGCGGACTGTGACATTGTGTAAAACGGATATATTATAGCATGCCTATTACGTTCACCTCACAAACTAACGGCCAGCTTTATTGGGCTGATATCCCATCTGTATATCACGTCCCAGTAACGGGTATAACAAGATTTATTGGGCTGATATCCCATCTGTATATCACGTCCCAGTAACGGGTACAACCAGATTTGTTGGGCTGATATCCCATCTGTATATCACGTCCCAGTAACGGGTATAACAAGATTTATTGGGCTGATATCCCATCTGTATATCACGTCCCAGTAACGGGTACAACCAGATTTGTTGGGCTGATATCTCATCTATATATCACGTCCCAGTAACGGGTACAACCAGATTTGTTGGGCTGATATCCCATTTGTATATCACGTCCCAGTAACGGGTACAACCAGATTTGTTGGGCTGATATCCCATCTGTATATCACGTCCCAGTAACGGGTACAACCAGATTTGTTGGGCTGATATCCCATCTGTATATCACATCCCAGTAACGGGTATAACCAGATTTGTTGGGCTGATATCCCATCTGTATATCACGTCCCAGTAACGGGTAGAACCAGAATTGTCGGGCTGATATCCCATCTGTATATCACGTCCCAGTAACGGGTACAACCAGATTTGTTGGGCTGATATCCCATCTGTATATCACATCCCAGTAACGGGTATAACCAGATTTGTTGGGCTGATATCCCATCTGTATATCACGTCCCAGTAACGGGTAGAACCAGAATTGTCGGGCTGATATCCCATCTGTATATCACGTCCCAGTAACGGGTACAACCAGATTTGTCGGGCCGATATCTCATCTATATATCACGTCCCAGTAACGGGTATAACAAGATTTGTTGGGCTAATATCCCATCTGTATATCACGTCCCAGTAACGGGTATAACCAGATTTGTTGGGCTGATATCCCATCTGTATATCACGTCCCATTAACGGGTAGAACCAGAATTGTCGGGCTGATATCTCATCTGTATATCACATCCCAGTAACGGGTATAACCAGATTTGTCGGGCCGATATCTCATCTGTATATCACGTCCCAGTAACGGGTATTACCAGATTTGCTGGGCTGATATTCCATCTGTCTGACACGACCCAGTAACGGGTAGAACCAGATTTGTCGGGCTGATATCCCATCTGTATATCACGTCCCAGTAACGAGTATAACAAGATTTGTTGGGCTAATATCTCATCTGTATATCACGTCCCAGTAACGGGTAGAACCAGAATTGTCGGGCTGATATCCCATCTGTATATCACGCCCCAGTAACGGGTAGAACCAGATTTGTTGGGCTGATATCCCATCTGTCTGACACGTCCCAGTAACGGGTATAAGCGGATTTTTTTGGACTGATATCCCATCTGTACATCACGTCCCAGTAACGGGTACAACCAGATTTGTCGGGCTGATATCCCATCTGTACTTCACGTCCCAGTAACGGGTATAACCAGATTTGTTGGGCTGATATCCCATCTGTATTCTGTATATCACGTCCCAATAACGGGTACAACCAGATTTTTCGGGCTGATATAATAGTTCTCAATATATCAATTGTAGGGTGATATAGAAATACCACTGTTAAAATAGTACTCAATAGATCAATTGTAGAGTGATATAGAAATACCACTGTTAAAATAGTACTCAATACATCAATTGTAGGGCGATATAGAAATAACGGTGTTAGAACAGTGCTCAATACATCAATTGTAGAGTGACATAGAAATACCACTGTTAAAATAGTGCTCAATACATCAATTGTAGAGTGATATAGAAACATCACTGTTAAAATAGTGCTCAATAAATCAATTGTAGAGCGATATAGAAATACCACTGTTAGAATAGTGCTCAAAACTTCAATTGTAGAGCGATATAGAAAAACCGCTATTAAAATAATGCTCAATAAATCAATTGTAGAGCGATATAGAAATACCACTGTTAGAATAGTGCTCAATACATCAATTGTAGAGCAATATAGAAATACCACTGTTAAAATAGTTCTCAATACATCAATTGTAGAGCAATATAGAAATACCACTGTTAGAATAGTGCTCAATACATCAATTGTAGAGCTATATAGAAAAACCGCTGTTAAAATAGTGCTCAATATAATAATTGTAGAAAGATAAAGAAATACCACTGTTAAAATAGTGTTAAATACAGTAAAACCCGCATTAAGGGATCACTCAATGGATGAGTCCAAAGAAGTCTCTTAATGAATTAAGGTGATCTCTTAGGAGAGAAAGTCAGCAATTTGCTACCAATTATTTTATTTCATTACATAACAATAACTATTATATTCATTACATAAATTGTTTAATTGGACTTATAATCCTCAACAATCCGCACGTCTGTATTATGGCAAGAATCTCAAGAAAAGACAAGTCGTCATTTTAACTTTAAAACACGGATGGATCATTCTGGACACTCATGGATTTGAAAGCTCAAATAGCTAAAGGCATTACCGTTTTCTTGACTAAGGTGCGAATGGCCAAACGCACAACAAACCTGCCTAATGTAAGAGCGGGAAAACGTTTGTCTAGGCCTGCATCCCTAAATCACCTCATCCGCCTCCCATAAACCATGACAATAAATCAAAAATGACAAAAATGAAATGAATGGAGTTTTACGTCCTACTTTTCTGCACCATGTGGGCTAATGAAGATGGGCAACGCCATACAGGGTGCAATGAGAAAAATTTTGCCTGGACATCGGCATTAGCCTGCTCTTTTTCGATTTCCAATTATTGTGGAGCGGAGGGATCTTTAACGTACCGGTACTTAGCGTGTAACACACGGGGCCTCGGTTATATGTCATATCTGAGCGACTGGACACTTTTTCCATGTCAGCCCCTCTTACCTACATCGCTGACAGGGTGAAACCGGGTTGAAAAATCCGAAGGTATTATCTCGAAAACAAAGCTTAGACATTAATCTTTTTATTTACGAAGAAATATTTTATATGAAGGGAGATAACCCATGCTTATTTTAATAGTATCAGACAACACTAAACCACTGGAGCTAAAGGTGCAAATTTAGGCCTAGAGAAGCTACAAATTGTCATGTTCTGTTTAATATACAAATGTTTATATTTTAATATACATATTTTAAGATTATAATAACGATGCAGTGGGTCGCTAAAAACCAAGAAAATAAATATCGAATGATAGCGAGTTAGGTTTGTCCACTAGATCGATCTAAGGCTATGTCTAGACGAGGGTATCGAACGCACCCAATGTGTTCTATTATCACGTCAAAAACAATCCAACTCGGTCATCGCGTGATAGAAACCACTGATATAAAACACTGAAAAAGTCATTGACAACAGCCAATGAAATTGAATGGCTTTAACCAATGGAAACGTGGGAAATATATAAATTATTTCACAGAATAGTAGATAATTAGAAGTGGAATAAGTCGTAATTTATTCCAGTCTAGAATTTTGAAGACGTCAAATACTAATTTTAAATTTCTATTTGGAGAATACAAAAATACAGGTGAGTGAATTTGATTTTTTGTTCCTTTTGTTAAATTATCGGGAATTAATGCATAAAATTCTATATATTACATTGGGCATTTAGATCTATATAAATCTTGGTGGAAAATGAAAATCAGGAATTTTGAGAAAGGCCGAAATCCAACAATTTATTACAAATTTGATTTGACATAGCACAAGAGTGAATCAAGTATTAATCCGAATGTTGGAAGCGGTAGAATACTAATTATTGTGCACATTTTTTATCGTCCAATTTGTTTTGATAGCCCAAAATAGCACTAGCTAAATACGGGCGGGTTACTGGAGGAATTTCTGTGGAGAGAGAGGCCCGCACCTGAATATTCTTGATGTATGAATCTAGAATAAGTTCTATTGGTATATACTTTGTAGAAAATGACGTTTCTCTTGTGAACATATATCTGTCAGCCCTTACCCCCCGGAGCAATGAGTAATAAATTGATTCTCAAACCCTAAACGTTGTAAATTGTATGATTCTAATATATTTGAGCTAATGGTAATATTTCAAATGGCTCCACGTTGGTGACATACACATCTATCGATTAAAAAACATGTACCTGAATATAGAGCTTCAAAAACGAATTCTTTTATAAGAACGATTGACCACAGCCCCTGATATTCCAATCCCAGTTTTCTCAATGAAGCTTTTATTCATAATTTATTTAGATCTTGCCCATCTTATAAGTTCCCCGAGAAGACCAGTCTGGGATTTAGGGCCTTGATTCTTTTTTAATGTTGACGTCCCCTTGACAACGACAACGCTATCTATTATAAAATCATTTATGACTGACCTACTTTAGATGCATGTGCATAATTAGCGATCGATTTTTGGTGCATTTTGCTCATCAATTATTGCTGTGCTTTTTAAAATACCATACACTGTCTTTTATTTTTACAGAATGACTGATAGAAAAGCTGTTATTAAAAATGCCGACATGTCGGAAGATATGCAAGCCGACTCTATCGAATGCGCCACCCAAGCCCTGGAGAAATTTAACATTGAAAAAGACATTGCTGCCTTCATCAAGAAGGAATTTGACAAAAAATACAACCCAACATGGCACTGTATTGTCGGCAGAAACTTTGGAAGTTACGTGACCCACGAAACCAAACATTTCATATACTTCTATTTGGGTCAAGTCGCCATTTTGTTGTTTAAATCTGGTTAGAGAGGATGATGATGATGATGATGGGAGGATGATATGAGTTAAACTGGCGGATGAAGACGCTGATATCCATCAAGATGCTATTAATCTAGTTCTCGGCATTTAATTCTACACATGAACCTTTTTAGTTTCGCCATTATTTAATTTCAACACGAACAAATTCTATATTTTGTTCTTATTTATTTATAGAATATTTATTGGAATCGTCTAACATAGTACTAATTGAAATGTTAAAATTGGATGATAATCGAGCAAGAATATAACAAACTTCCAAGTCTCTACCTCTGACCTAGGCCAGTGCTTCTATAGTAGAGAATCTCATAACACCTAATACCTCTGATCTAGGCCAGTGCTTCTATAGTAGAGTATCTCTTTAAGACCTTATACAAGGTTATATGCTCGCAATGTCGAACTGGAAATACTTTGGTCACAATTATTTGTATGGACTTGAGAACTATTTGAGAACTGCAATTATATTTGCGGACGAGTTTCCTGGTTGATTGGTTATGTCTGGCTGAAGAAGAAGAGTGACTGATCTCGCAGGTGTCCGGTACGAAATTCTCCAACAATACCGATTGCTCACAGTAGTCTATGAATCAATCGAAATTTAGTCAAAATCACCAAAAATAACGATTACCTCTGATAACATTATGATTTACCACTTTCTAATATTTATTTTATTTATTTCTTTATTGTTATGTTTTGTATAAATTTTCATATAAAAATAATTTTCACAAGTTGGTTTTGTGAATACGGAACTTGGGTTTGCCTTGTACGCGGACGTGGGTTTTCACATGATCGAGGAACTATTTGGGTATGGTTTGAAACTGAGCCAGTGGTTCTAATGAGTCTTTCAGTGGATGGAGTTTAATATTATAATTTTATTAGACAATACAATCGAAAAATCGAAAGGATTGCCTCCCGATAATATGCTGACAAACGATTTATTCGATTACTTCAACTAAGCCCCGTACATCTTAGCCCATCCTTACGACCGGTACCGACAGACTAAGAAAGCAATTGATTTTGACGAACCCAGAAATGAGGCTGGCCCGAATTCCCCCTCCCCCCCCCACCCCCCTTAGACTAGACTAAGGCTACGTACAATCAGCCAGTTAGGCCTAACCCACTTATTTATCGGGCAAACAGTCTACCGGGAAAGTAGTCTATCTCTTCCTGTCTGCAACATATGGTAGTCAATGGCAGCTGTACTTTACCGGAACTTTGCCCAGATTGTCACGTGATTTTGGTATAGTTCAAACATTAGAGTCTTTTCATTCGGGACTTTGTAAACAAAGCCAATATATGCATCAACAAGAAGGTTGTGGATTTATAATGATTTTAAAATGTATAATACACACGAACGTAATTTGCGACCATTTTGAATCTCTACCTCGACTTTTCATACAGGCTAGCTAGAATGTTTCAACAAAGTTTTCAAATCAGATTTTAAGGTTTAGAAATAGATTTTAATGTCATTTGAAGTTTTTATTGAAATGTTACATTCTTTTTCAAAAGTCGAGTTGGGATTCAAAATGGTCGCGTGTGTTCCATATTTCCATGTAAGAATATCATACGTAGCGAATTATCCCCAAAAGGTTCTAGAGCTTGAGACTATTTTTTTTATCGCCATTTTACTATCATTTGACAAACATGGTGGTAAAATGCAGGAAGTGAGGTGGCTCGCTACAAACAGGTTAGATTTCACAAGGTCATAGTGTGATGCTGGGAAGTGGATTCTAGCCCTAGATAGCTGCTTGCCCCCAACCCTAATCACCCCGATTTGTCTCAGATCAACGTAAGATTCTTTGCTGACGGATTTATCTCGATTGCTATGGGGCAAAATACAAATAATTCGAGAACAACATCCAAGTTCGCATTTAAAAATGTTTTTCTTAGCAAAAATAAAATAAAAGTTTAAAAATAAACAATAACATTGCATGTTAGAAGCAAATATTGAGAAAAATAAAAATATTGAACCATCATCATCCTCTCTAACCAGATTTAAACAACAAAATGGCGACTTGACCCAAATAGAAGTATATGAAATGTTTGGTTTCGTGGGTCACGTAACTTCCAAAGTTTCTGCCCACAATACAGTGCCATGTTGGATTGTATTTTTTGTCGAATTCCTTCTTGATGTAGGCAGCAATGTCTTTTTCAATGTTAAATTTCTCCAGGGCTTGGGTGGCGCATTCGATGGCATCGGTTTGAAGCTCCTCCGACATGTCGGCATTTTTAATAACTGATTTTCTGTCTGTCATTCTGTAAAAATAAGTTAATATTATTCAAACAATTTCATCTACTAATGAAAAAACAAGCTAGTCTAAAACTCTACATGCATTTAACGTTATATCGTTACGCACAGACGATTTCATGACGTCATTGACTATAACTTCCATTGGGAATGGTGAAAAACGGCCCGGAAGTGACGCCAGCCTTAACCAAGGGTACAATTTTGCAAAAGACAACCGAAATCATGTTTGAAAAGTATTACAGATCACTAGAATTGAACTCTATATAAGTTGGTTTCCATTATATACGGTCTATAATAAAAATGCTTACAAAGCAAGACAATTCCGTTATTCACAATCGGGAGTAAGGGTATTTTGAAATATTGATGGATTCACAATAACCCGAACTAAGAACATTGTGACATTAAAGAGCTATGTATCGAGATAGACCTTTATAGTAACTCAACCATAACTAATTCTAATAATAAATGGGCCGAGATATATATTTCAATACCGACACTACTACTACAGCGATTATAATATAATATATAACTTTCTACAAGCTATCACCCAAACATGTTGTGATTTCACCTAGCAAAATAATATATTATCGAGTAGATCGATAAAGCCGATGGTAAATATTATATCATATAGAGCTCAATTAAAAGTTTTTCGTAATAAGCTTACTTATTCAAAATAAATCTAGTAGGCCCTACGAAACCCGAAATCCAAACATTATATTGACGAAACATTGGTAGTAGCTTATGGACTTTTCACACAAGGAAGTATATCAAACATATGTGAGTAGTACAAAATGAAAAGATGTATAAGAAATGAAATGAAATGGAGTTTTACGTCCTACTTTTCTGAACCCTGTAAAAGATGTATCAGAATACCCTGACCTAATTCTGGTAAGCTTCTAACAAGACACGATATTATTTGTATAAAAAAATTATATAGCCAGGGATTTGAGTATCGCAGGCCAAAAGCGTTCCAGATCTCCTTGCCCATGGAATGTCAAGTAACTGGTAGAACCCCTTTACAAGTGCCTGCTAACCCTAGCTCATTTATATAAGCAGGGTCCTCAACACTTCTAATCTAATTACGATGTAAACTTAACGACCAAAATGTCCACGTACACAAAATATATGTATTCAAGTTTTAACAAGATTTCTGAAAGGCCGAAGCTTGTTGACCAATTGGCGGGAAACCTGAATATCAGGCTAGGTGACTTTTGCCCCTCCCACACTCTCCAAACTGTCAATACTCTCCAAAATATTCAGTAACTTAGTGATACATTGTTGATATAATATTAATATATCAATTGATCATACCACACCTGTTTGGTCAATATACAAAAAACTTTCCCGCCCTTTTTCTAACAAGTCAGAAGTTCTTTGATATAACCTAGCCTAGAAATTGAACTCGTTAATTACACTACCAAATTCTCAAAATTACCTGAAAGTTAAGTATTTTCCTCAGCTTGTGTAATTTGACACCGACTGCAGTCTAAAAGGTTTTAATATGAATTTTAATACGTGTTGAATAATATACCGGTTTTATTGAAATTCAGCCCCCGTTACCACGTTATCGTAACAGTTGTCTCTAATTCTATTGGTTGTCTCTAACAATTTGATTGGTTATTGCTAGGGCTTACTTTAGTGGTTTCTATCAAAGACTGTACTTGTTTTACAATAATGTAATATAATATAGGTGCGTTTGATTCATGTTCAGTAAATACCCGAGTTGCATTCTTGTGTATTTTATTTCTTCGTAAAAAAACAGGTAAAATTACTATGCATGTAAGCCATTTATTAGTGAAACTACTGTGGTACAGTTCGACTTATTTCATAGATAAAGTACTGTAGAATTACTTACAGTGAAACGATGGGTGTAAATTTTTTTAGTATTTTTTATTGAACAATAATTAGATTAGTATGAAGAAGAACACTGAGGGATGTCTTGTGTGAAGGGAAAATTTTCAATGAAACGGGATTATGTTTCATTACTGTAAATGGTAGAAAAACGTCTGAAGCGGAGATGGTGGTGACACGCGTTAGCCACCTTCTCATATATTATTATAGAGATAGTCGACTATTGATAGAAACAGGTGCCTGTGTGTAAAACAGAATTTAAAAAATGTTGGAGTATATCTCTGGATCCAAATATCAAAAATCACCTATTTCAATTTTTTTAAAACTTCTGGCAAGTTGGCCAATCTGATATACCATTTACATCTGTTGTGAAGAATCTGGGCGTCCATTGATTCACAATCACATCTTAACATGTCAAAGCATGTCAACCATCTTACCAAGTCCAGTCATCTGCAACTTAGGATATAGGCTATATTAGGTCCTACTTGACGAGAGATGCTACAGCTGTTCTCATGCTGTCACTTATGTTGTCCAGACTGGATTATTGCAATGGCATATTGACTGGAATACCATCTGAACAAGTACAAAAACTTCAAAAAATACAAAAACTTGCTTCACGAAGTGTTCTACAAGTACCTCAACGATGCCACGTATCTCCAGTTCTCAACTCCCTACATTGGTTGCGAGTAAAATAAAGAATTGACTTCAAAATTCTGTCATTGGCCTATCAAACCATCCACAAATTATCCCCAACATACCTACAGAATCTACTGTCGTTGTATACACCACTACGATCTTTACGTTCTTCAACAAAACATCTGTTAGATATACCAATGGTTAACCTTCAGACTGTTGGAGCCAGGTCCTTTAGCTTTACGGTGGCCTCTTTATGGAACAAATTACTTGATACTATTAAACTTTCTCCATCACTTGCCACTTTCACATCTAGTGTCAAGACATGGCTGTTGAATCACTACAAATAGACAACCATGCTCAGAGCACACAAGCGCTTGGGGCATTCTTCTACAGTATGGAAAGGCTCTTTATAAATAGTCTTATTATGATTTATCTAAATTGTCAACTGATCTGTCTAGATTGTTAACTGATCTGTCTAGATCGTTAACTGATCTGTCTAGATTGTTAACTGATCTGTCTAGATTGTTAACTGATCTGTCTAGATTGTTAACTGATCTGTCTAGATTGTTAACTGATCTGTCTAGATCGTTAACTGATCTGTCTAGATCGTTAACTGATCTGTCTAGATTGTTAACTGATCTGTCTAGATTGTCAACTGATCTGTCTAGATTGTCAACTGATCTGTCTAGATTGTCAACTGATCTATCTAGATTGTCAACTGATCTATCTAGATTGTCAACTGATCTATCTAGATTGTTACTGATCTATCTAGATTGTTAACTGATCTATCTAGATTGTTAACTGATCTGTCTAGAATGTCAACTGATCTATCTAGATTGTCAACTGTCAACTGATCTATCTAGATTGCTTATTGATCTGTCTAGATTGTTAACTGATCTATAAGGTTGTTAACTTATCTATCTAGATTGTCAACTGATCTATCTAGATTGCTTATTGATCTGTCTAGATTGTTAACTGATCTATCAAGGTTGTTAACTGATCTATCTAGAATGTTAACTGATCTATCTAGATTGTCAACTGATCTATCTAGATTGCTTATTAATCTGTCTAGATTGTTAACTGATCTATCTAGATTGACAACTCATCTATCTATATTGCTGTTGGGTAGATTGCAGAATAACATCCAAGGAGATGGAAAACATAAAAAATAAGATATTGAATTTTTTTATCAAAAATAAAACAAACTTTAAAAATTAACAAAAACAATAATTCTTTCAAAATTCAAAGGTTTATGAGAGAAAGACCGTGATAGCAGTTTTTGAACCAAAATTTCAGGAGATGCATTTCTTCCATCATCATCTCTAACCAGACTTATACAACAAAATGGCGACTTGACCCAAATAGAAGTATATGAAATGTTTGGTTTCGTGGGTCACGTAACTTCCAAAGTTTCTGCCGACAATACAGTGCCATGTTGGGTTGTATTTTTTATCGAATTCTTTCTTGATGTAGGCAGCAATGTCTTTTTCAATGTTAAATTTCTCCAGGGCTTGGGTGGCGCATTCGATAGAGTCGGCTTGCATATCTTCCGACATGTCGGCATTTTTAATAACAGCTTTTCTATCAGTCATTCTGTAAAAATAAGTTAAAAGTTATTCAAAAACTTGCATCTACTAATGAGAAGTCAAGATGGTTTTCATGCACTGAACGCATAGAGTAATATAATAAGATAATATATATAATAATAGTCCTCACTGACTATTTCATGACGTCATCTGCTAGAAATCCCCTTTGGAATGTTATCTGAAATGGGATGGCCCGGAAGTGACGCAAAATTTAACTAAATGACAGTATTACGGATAACTAAAACCAAGCTATATAGAAAGTCAGTACATATTATATCCAATTGATATTCGATATACACTATACGTTTCATAAGATAACCAGGTATGTCGCGGGCCAATTGCGTTTCAGCTTTCCTTGCCACTTATGCAGTCTGATTAGGATTAGACCAAATTTCGTTTCGTTTTGTTATTAGCTTTTATTTTTCAACAATTAAACCCACTTCAGTTATAGTCTAACGACAGCCCTCCTGAACGTTCATCAAAGTAACCTTGTGACCTAACTAATGAATTCTGCTTTAACCAATCATATTTCTACCTTCTGGCTGGCATTTTGTGACGCAGTGCTTATCAGGTTAGGTCGAAAGGCTAATTTGATCAACGTTAAGATGGCTGTAAAATATGAGATAATAAAAAAAAAACAGAACGAATGATCTGTCAATTAAGCGATGTCAAGTATCTTGTAGAACTCCTATACTGCTACGTTTACACAGGCAGACTATGCTTACCACCGCTATTATATAATTACAATGTAAACTTAACGACCAAATTGTCCACGTACACAAAAGACAATGTATTCAAGTTATAACAAGAATTCTGAAATTGGCGGGAAAAACACAACCTTAGGCTGGGTGACGACGATTGCGCCTCTAAAGTGTTATTAGTAGCCCAAATATTTAGTAACTGTTCTCATTGTTTATTTTACAAAAAAATATTTCTGATAGGCCTACCAATTAATCATACCACAACTGTTTGATTAAGATACAGAAAACTTTCCCGCCCTTTTTCTAACTAGTCAGAAGTTATTCCTAATTTCTTTGATATAACCTAGCCTAGAAATACAACTCGTTAAATAAACTACCAAATTCCCAAAATTACCTGAAAGTTAAGTATTTTCCTCAGCTTGTGTAATTTGACACCGACTGCAGTCTAAAAGGTTTTAATATGAATTTGTATACGTGTTGAATAATATACCGATTTTATTGAAATTCAGCCGCCGTTACTATGTATCGCGCAACAATTGTCTCTAATACTATTGATTGACTCTATCAATATGATTGGTCATTACTAGGGCTTACTATAGTGGTTTCTATCAAGGACTGTAGGCCTACTTGTTTTTACACGAAAATATAGGTGCGTTCGATTCGATGTCTAGTAACTACTCGAGTTACATTCCCAATTCCTTCATTTCTCCGTAAATATAGATAATCCGAGCACCCCGGCGCCCTTTTGTAAATTAAGAGTGCACTAACTAAGTTGGAAGTGGAAGTATAATAAATTTCTTATTTTTATGGCCCATGGCACTACGTCACAAGTGACAAATGACACAAGCGTGATTCAAAATAACAATGGGAGCTATAAATATATTTCTATTTTTTATTGTAATATTTCAAGGTTAGGTTAACATGAATTTATAATGACTGAATGTAGTTTATTTCTTCCGACATTTAGAGAATAATAAATGAAGCTACTAGAACACGATTTGAAAAGAATAAACAATAGGCTACGATCCGAACCGCAATATCCTTATACTCAAAATAACATTATTTTTAAATAATGAATTTTACCTACCACCCCCCTTCCCCCCCTA